CAAAGCAACTTGCAAATCTATACATACTGACCTACATGATGAATTTAATGGAAACGTACATACACACACACACACACACACACACACACACACACACACACACACACACACACACAGAAAAAAAGAGAAATTGCTTTTAAAAGCTTTATTCCATAAGGTTTCAGGCTAATTGCCATAATTGCCATAACGTATTCAGATTCAGAAGATGATTTTATCCAAAGCAACTTGCAAATCTATACATACTGACCTACATGATGAATTTAATTGTTATTAACAGGGTGGGTGTTTGTACTGTCAATATTTTTGTCTGTGTTGTAAGGATCACGTTACATTTGCCATTTGAAATTGAATTAAATAATTGGTGGCAATTGACTACATTGTAAACAAAATTCTACACAATTATAGTATGCCCACAGCTAATGCTAAAATACATTTGAAATGCAATCACTTGATTCTGATTTACTGATATACTAAACCATTGCATCTGTTAAAATTAATAAAACCCCATACTAAATGTCAAATAAATTTGTCAGAGAATGTCATAATCTTACATACTATTGCACACATATCGTTCACTTTTTACCTAGACAAATTATAACACAAACTGTACATAAATATTTTAAGATGACCAGGGCTGCGTTTTTCCCGAAACCTACTTAATGCTACGTCGTTCTTAAGTTGTACCTTAACCTGTACCTTATCGTTAATACATGTTTCTGAAACATTCTTAGTTAAAGGGATAGTTCACCCAAAAATGAAAATTCTGTCATTAATTACTCACCCTCATGTCGTTCTAAACCCTTAAGACCTCCGTTCATATTTGGAACATAAATTAAGATATTTTTGCTGGAATCTGACAGCTCTCTGACCCTCCCATAGACAGCAAGGGTACTACCACGATCAACGTCCAGAAACGTAGCAAGGAGTTCGGTAAAATAATCCATGTGACATCAGGGGTTCAACCGTAATATTACGAAGCTACAAGAATACTTTTTGTGCACAAAAGAAAAAAAAAAAACGACTTTATTCAACAATTCGTCTCCTCCTCGTTGCGTTCTAACAGGAAAGAGTTCGTCATTTTGGAGCGCCATTTTGGAGAGTATCCACTGAACGCAAACAGCGTATGCTATTCTGTGTCAGCTGCACCACACGCACCACCCTGATGTCACTTGGATTATTTTACCAATCTCCTTGCTACGTTTCTGGACCTTGATCGTGGTAGTACCCTTGCAGTCTATGGGAAGGTCAGAGAACTGTCAGAATGCATCAAAAATATCTTAATTTGTGTTCTGAAGATGAACGGAGGTCTTACGGGTTTGGAACGACATGAGGGTGAGAATAATGACATAATTTTCATTTTTGGGTGAACTAACCCTTTAAGTATACCTTCTGTAAGTCATACTTTCGTAAGGTTGGTCTGGACCACTCTTAGCTATACTTTATCACTTTTGACAGTTCACAGTTCTTTGCATCTCATTCTATACGAATATAATAGTTGTGCAAAATCAAAGACGGAGCTGTCCGCGGAGCCATCTAGTGTACTAAAACTTTAGAAAAAAAAAAAAATATATATATTTAAAACACACACACACACACATTTGCCGGCACGGCAGCAAATTCAGCAGCTTTTAGATCTTGTTGGTCCGATTTTGTCGAGACAAATTCAGCTGCTGGCAGCTCTCTACTCTCTCTCTTTTTCTCCGCAATAGTAGCTGTTGATTATATGTTTCTACTGTTGCGTTTTTATTGAGTAGCTCATCCAATAACAGAAATTAGTTAGAAAAAAAAAAAAATATATATATTTAAAACACACACACACACACATTTGCCGGCACGGCAGCAAATTCAGCAGCTTTTAGATCTTGTTGGTCCGATTTTGTCGAGACAAATTCAGCTGCTGGCAGCTCTCTACTCTCTCTCTTTTTCTCCGCAATAGTAGCTGTTGATTATATGTTTCTACTGTTGCGTTTTTATTGAGTAGGTCATCCAATAACAGAAATTAGTGATTTACACCAATATGTGATGCTGCTGCTGAGCAATCAACCCTGGTTGTGGAGTAAATGAAGAAATATATTATGATAATATAAATGACCCATTCAAAGGCCAGTGAAGGTATACTGCCAGTTAGTGATATAGGCTACATTTTGGGCATGATGTTGTGGGTTCGCACACACATTTCAAAATTATATAAATATCCACAGGGTTGGATTTAGTTTGCAATTTGGATTATTTTTTTAAGATCCTATGAGTCCTGATAAATGCAATTTCAACTATTTCTGAAGTGCTTCTTGTTGGAAAGCACTCTTACCACAATGTTTTTCTGTTGGACTTTTGTAAGCACAAGGTGTTATTATTATTATTTTTTCTCTGTTCTGTTAAAAGTTTTTTATCCTTGTATTTTATGTGGTGACCACTGGGAGGTGCCGTGGGCATGTATTTTTCTTTCTTGGTTTTCTTCCCTGACGTGATGTTGCAAGACTAAAGTAAAAGTTTCATGCAGGTTCGTTGCGTTCTAACAGGAAAGAGTTTGTGTCTTTATTTAAAATCAACACTTTTTCATATAAAGCAGTGAAGCAGCATGTGCATAGAATGAATAATTGATTCTCGAGCCATTGATATCAACCAAATTCAGCACCACCGCCATGGACAGCACCTGGTAACGTTGCACGTAAGAAGGTATATCTTAAGCAACCTTCTAAGGTATAGATCGGGGAATACGCCTAGAAATGGTACACTTTCAGTTAAGGCATACCTTTAGAGTCTTCGTAGCACGCTATGAGACAGCGTTATCTGTACGCTGTCTCATAGAATCCTAGTTCAACACAGTAACCACATAGTGCAAACATATTATGACTGTCACAAAAGTTTGCATTGTGACATTGTTTTTATCCAAATTCTCATTTGTTTCCTATTCATTTGTCAGAACGGAATGACGTAAAGTTTTCGAGGCAAGACTTGAACCCTCAGTCAGAGAACACTACTTCTCTACCTCTGGTCTACTGAGGGAAGACAGTCTGTAGAAATCCCATGTGCAGAAGGAAAAGGTAAACCAGGAGGCTCAGATAACTCAAAAACAGACAGTCTTACTTGGTCTCAGTCTTCAAAATACAAACAAAAGAGCAGTCATAGCTTTGCAAAACAAAAACGTAAGTAGGCCAAAATGGCAACAGAGAAACAATACTTATCTCTTCTATAATCCATCCAGGGTAGGCTCAAGCCTGAATACAGCTCAATGAAACTGCCAAACTTAAACAGGACAAAATATAGGTGGAACAAATTAACTTGATGAGCAGTCCTAACAAGAGTTCACAGCAGGTGGTGCCATCTAGTGGCTGGGAGAGTCATTGCAGGAGGAGTCTTAAATCATTTCAGGGTGAAATATGAGTCAGACATGTTCTTGAAAGGTTTTGAGAGATAAAAAACACCTACTGTAAGGTGAGAGCCAAATACATTCTTTCTCAGCCTACTTTCTTTACATGTTAGCCTTTCTATTATTAATGATTGGAAATTTTCAATTTCTGTTGAAATTTAGTCTGCTAAATGACTAAAAGTAAAAGTAAAAGTAAATTTTGATTCTCCTTTAGGTCCATGGGAACGCAGATAAACACTCCACAAACATTGAAATAATCTCATTTAGGCAGATGAGTACGATTATTTTCCGTCATCCACACTATTGAAGGGATGCTTGCTGGAACAAGCCCACACAAAATGCGATACAGTTCAGGTGACGTATATTACAGTGTGGGCTGCTTGCATTAAGATTCCCTTTCGGATAGCATTACTCGACTGTGATGCAGTTACCTTAAGGGACAGAAACCTCTTGTGAATGTGCTAATGTGCCTAATGTTTCCTGAAAGACTGCACCTGCTTCTGAAATCCTCAAGCCATAGCCAAACAATACAGCCAAATGATATTCCTCTCTCCATTTAGAAAGGCCACTGGTGAAAGAATGCAACGAATGCATTTCCTAAGCAAGAATTTTTGACTAGTTTGAGTATTTTTGACCATTTCAAAAGAAAAACTAAAATAAAAATAGACATGTTAAAAAAAAGTATTTCTTTATTGTCTTTGTCTTGAGTTGTTTGTATTCTGGTCTTTCCCTCGCATCACATTTGATTATTACAGCAAGCTGATCCCTCAAGACAAAAAACTATTGTAATCAAAGAAAATATCTCAACCAGGGGCACATCTTGTACTCACAAACAAAACTATGGGTGCTCCAGAACGGGAACAAAATATCAAAAACAGTAGGTGGATCCTGTTGCAGAACAAGAAAATCCACGTCCAGGCACTCACATAGTTAGGTAAAAAGCCTTTATTATAAGACAGGGCTACTTCTTAAACAAAAAAAGATACCAATGCATATCAGCCCAAACAGGCCTTCGTCAGGGTTAAAAAAAAACTATTGCTTTTGCTATTGCCCTGTGTTCCTTCCACACAAAGGACTGTTGAATAAGCAGTGCACCCCACTGAAGTAGAGATGTGATCATTTATGGCAAGCACATGTGTCCCAGAAGCTTTTTGACAGTCTCCTTGATCTTTGGAGGCCTGGAAATTTGAGGATAGCAGAACATAGATAATCTGGAGCATTTTGATAGATCAAAACGTACCTCCAAACATAAATGAATTCATTCATAAAAAAAAGATTTCCTCTCAGTAAGACACCAACATTAGCATGCCTTGCCTTCCTACACGCTGTGAAGGATTTGATTTAGTATGACAAGAAAGAAGTCACTGAAACATTGTATGTGTCACATTTACAAAACATCACTGATGTCAGAAATAGAAACTGTCAACTTTATCTCAGTGAACTATGAACTCTCTGAAAGGATAGAGACACAGGATGAAAGATAGAGGGGAAGAGGCGTGTCTTCAGTATGTCAGACAGGTTTACTGCCTCTGGCCAGCGAGATGCTCTCATTATTTGCATGTGAAAACTTGAGTCCCCACCCTTCAACAGGTTCTCAGCACTTCTCCTGTTCAGACACATTCAGGGTTTTTTTTTTCAGAGGCTAACAAATCTCCTTCATTTTGCGACATAGCTCATCCATACTGGTACAACGCGGGATAAGAATGCTAAGAGACACAGCATGATGATTTCCTCTTAAGTAAGTCACTTTTTACAAATGGCAAAGACTTGAATGTCATACTCAATGTTACTGAAGTACTGAATTGTTTGGAGCAAGAAAGCTGCAGAGTACAGATGTCAGGTTACTTTGCTATATGTCTGCCTGTATTGATTTTGCATATTGAAAGATACATTTCACAATGTCAGTGCATGACAATGTGACAGACTATTTCTGAGAAAGGTGTACAATTAAATAATTAGGGTTCTCGCAAACAAACTGTCTTTTGCTATACATGGATTTTAGTTCTAGTTATATCTTTGGAATGTGCTGATGTCTTATGATCTCTAAGATGAACAGATATGTGAAAAGTTGCCTGGAATCTCTTCATTAGTGTTTTTTTCTCATTCTCTTTCTGAATGAAGTGCAAAATAAAGTTGCAAGATCTTTTAAATACAATATAAATCAGCAAATTGTACAGCAATACAAATATAGTTATTGTAGTAACATAGAACTCTCATAGAACCACAAAATGAGTTGTTTAACACATGCATTAAGTTTTGGTTAACTAAAGCTGTCTTTGTTATTCAGTCAGTGTATTAATCAGAGCAGGTGGGGCTCTGAATGACTTTAAGTGTTGAAAGCCAACCCCTTGTGAATGCTTTAGGCCTGTGGAGATCTCAGCACCTGCTGATCAAGTCAAGTCAAGTTGAATAAATTAATTATGCCCGATAGAATTCATTTGAAATATGATGAACCTTGATGGATTCTGGGAAATAACCTTTTTAATGACATCAAGGTTTTGGAGCGTGTGGTTTTGACCCGAATGCATATGTTACAGTTTTGTTCACCTGTAATTACTTGGTAACTTGTAGATATACCATCTATAACTATCCTGCACCCAGCAAACAGAAAGAGCAAATATTGTTTTCCAAATTAATGACACACTTGTTTCTGTAGGACTCTATTAATATGCATGTGATTGACATATTTTTTATTTATTTTTTTAGATTTACTCAACAATTTACTATTAAATCCTCAAAGCTTGTTTTTGTTTTGGTCAGTTTTAATTTGTTTCTTTAAAGATGAAGTATATAATTTCTGTGCCAGGAGATTTTTTTTTTTTATCTTAAATTCCATTAACATTATAATAGATGATTTGCCATTTGCCATTTTTTTCACCGACTAGTTGTTTTTAGTGACAGTTATAGCTTATGCAACTGCTTCAAACAGTTGTGTCTGAGTAGCCATTAGCAGGCTTGAAGGGTTCTGTGACTATTAACATGATTGGAATAACTTCATTTTTCTTCGGGGCTTATAGACATACTTAGCGAGCAACATTTAGAGAGTGTCAACTAACTAAACTAACTGTCCTGCACCCACAAAACATTATTAAGTTGGAAATGGAATGTTCTGGTTGTTACTGTAGGCCTGACTCAGTAACAAAGCTGGACAGTGCAATAACGTCATCACATGTTCTCACATTTTCAGTCGAAGAAAAATAATTACAGGGCAGCTTCTTCATTATAAGAACAGTGAGTCACTCACAGTTTCATCATAAGCAGAACATGTTACATCTGGAGAGTTTGCTCACTGCTGCTGCTCAGTATTTTAAATGTGCACTCATTAAAAAAAAGTTGTACACATAATATAGTACTTCTATATTATGTTTAAAATGATGTAGACTTACATGAGGTAAAGACTGTAGTTATTTCATTGACCTAATATAAACCTGACCTGATAACCTGATATAATATGACCTAATATAGCACCTAATAATAATAATATATATATATATATATATACACACACACACACACACACACCCATTAGGATATAGGATTTACTGGACAAAAATGTGGATAAGGCCCATGATATTATGTCTTTAAAGGCACATCATAAAAAAAATGAAAGTATAGTCTAGAGCAGTGGTCACCAACCTTTTTAGGCCCAAGATCCCTGACCTCGGCCTTTATGAAAGACAAGATCTACCTATTGAAGAATTGATAGAAAAAGACATCTCAGATTGTACTTCAAATTTGAGGCCTTTTACTTAGTATTTTAATTAGTGATGTGCCGATCATAGCTGATTCAGAATTCAGATTTTCTTTTCAAGTGACATGACATGTGGCCAAGTATGGTGACCTATACTCGGAATTAGTGCTCTGCATTTACCCATCCAAAGTGCACACACACAGCAGTGAACACACACCGGGAGCAGTGGGCAGCCATTTATGCTGCGGCACCCGGGGAGCAGTTGGGGGTTCGGTGCCTTGCTCAAGGGCACCTCAGTCGTGGTATTGAAGGTGGGAGAGAGCGCTGTACATTCACCCCCCCCACCTACAATCCCTGCCGGTACGAGACTCGAACCCACAACCTTTGGGTTATGAGTCCAACTCTCTAACCATTAGGCCATGACTTCCCTTTCATGACTTCCCTTTTCTTTCTTTCTTTCTTTCTTTCTTTCTTTCTTTCTTTCTTTCTTTCTTTCTTTCTTTCTTTCTTTCTTTCTTTCTTTCTTTCTTTCTTTCTTTCTTTCTTTCTTTCTTTCTTTCTTTCTTTCTTTCTTTCTTTCTTTCTTTCTTTCTTTCTTTCTTTCTTTCTTTCTTTCTTTCTTTCTTTCTTTCTTTCTTTCTTTCTTTCTTTCTTTCTTTCTTTCTTTCTTTCTTTCTTTCTTTCTTT